GCTCCATTATTGACATTGGTTACCTACTAATCTAAGATAACATTTTATATTTTCGTTTTCTGTAGCAGGTAGCCACAGCTGCAATTTCTTTGCTCTCTGACGTCTTTTTTCTGGTTTTGATGGAAACACGCTTATTTTCATGATCGATGTTCCACAGTTCTCTTGGCTTCATATGATGTTCATCTAAGTGCGTCCAAAGTTTTGTGTTCACAATGGAGGTAATTGCCTAGTCGTATCCATATAATGCGCATGTTTCCATTCTTCAAATGTGATTATATTAGAGCTTTACCGGCAAAGGGGTCTTAATGGTGATTATTCCAGAAGGAGCCAAAATCATTAAAAAGGTTCTGACAGATGGTTTTGTGCAGCAAAGACAGTTCCAGGAACCATCAGAAGCACCGCGTTTGATCCGAGAACAGCAGATGGTTTGCCATGGTACAAATTTTATCTACTGACTTCATTAGAGTCTCCCCTCCTCTCCATTTGTGATATATATATATATATAGACTAGCTTGGGGACCCGGCACTGCCCGGGTTATTTGAGAAAGGCATTGTGTATCAAGGTTGATCTTTATCAGTTATTTATATGGTTCACAGTGGTCTCAGGAAGTTAGTGAAGGTACTGTGAGTCCCATCATCTATGGTCCATCCTCCTCCAAACTGCACCAGGATGGAGAGTGGGTCATGGGGGCTCTGTGTGCCAAGTTTGGTCTTGTTCAGTCATTGGATGAGGATCGCAGTAGTCTCGGAAAGCGAGTGGGGGTACTTCAAGTCCTATCATCCATGGACTGCCCTCCTCCAAACCGCAGTAGGATGTAGAGTGGGTCATGGGGGCTCGGTGTAGCAAGTTTGGTCTTTATCGGTCTTTGTTGGAGGCCACAGTGGTCTGTGTAATCGAAGGGTTTGAAAATACTACAAATCCCATCATCCATTGTCCATCCTCCCCCAAACCTCACTGGGACATAAAGGGGGTCATGGGGATTATGTTTGCTAAGTTTTGTCTTGATCAGTCATTGGATGAGGATTGCAGCGGTCTCATAAAGCGAGTGGAGGTACTTCAAATCCCATCATCCATGGTCTGCCCTCCTCCAAACCGCAGTAGGATGTAGAGTAGGTCATGGGGGCTCGGTGTAGCAAGTTTGGTCTTTATTGGTCTTTGTTGGGGGCCACAGTGGTTCCTGGGAACCAAACCACTTGAAAGTACTACAAATCCCATAATCCGTGGTCCACCTCCCCCAAACTGCACCAAGACGTAAAGGGGTTCATGGGGGTTATGTGTGCCAAGTTTGGTCCAGGCGCGTCACCCGTGTTGGTCATAGTGGCTTGTGAAAGTGGCAGCCAATCAGAAAACTGCCACATACACTTCCGCCTTACCGCCCTCCGTATACATACACAAACAAACATTCACACACACACACACACACATATATATATACACACACATACATATATATACATACACACATAGATACACACAGAAGCCATATATATACTAGCCATCCCCTGCTACACGTTGCTGTGGCCCAATCTGTGTATATGTGTTTTGTGTGTGTATATATTTGTGTATATATATGTGTGTTTGTGTGTATATGTATAAATGTGTGTGTATATATGTATGTGTATATATTTGTGTATTTGTGTGCTTATATGTGTACATGCATATTGTATTTATGTGTGTGTTTGTCTATATGCATATTTGTGTGTATATATGTACTCATGTGTGTATATGGGTATATTTGTGTGTGTTTGTGCATATATATATGTATGTGTGTATGAATGTGTGCATGTGCATATGTATATGAGTGTATGTATATATGTATATATGGTGTATTTTGGGGTTTTTTTAATCTGTTCCGCTGGAGTTTTGTGTGCGTGTGCATGTGTGTGTTTACGGATGATGGACACTCGTTGGTCTGTTAGGGGTGTAGTGTCCAAATCTTGTGTCAATTCGTCCAGTGGTTTTTGAGTTATGTTAATCCCACAAACGAACATTACAATTTTATTTATATCGATATATGACATCTTTTAAATGTTCATAACAATACATAGAAAGCTATGCATCCACACTTTTGCTGGCAAGCTTAGTTCAAACTGCAAATGATATTGGTCTTTTATATATCTTGTTGATTTCTTCTGTTCTTGGTACAGAAACAATACTTTTGATATATCTTTGGCTCCAACGTCTGCATTATAGTAGACTCCCAGTTAACCAGCACTGATGACGATTCATAAGTGCCCGATATAATTGTAATGTCTGGTTGATTGGGAATTAAGAGTAAAAATAGGCCTAACTTGTACTATACCATGCCATAAACTCTGTATTGACCTGATATTGATATTGAAGTACAGTAATTAAAAGCAAATAAAGACAATCTTAACTTAATGCAACATGGTTTTACTGTAATACAGAAAAAGCTCTGTGAACACAGTATGCAATTTTAATTAAACGGTAGGCAATAAGCTTTTCAGCTTAATGAAATTCACTAATATCATTTTAGCACAGATACAAACTTAATAAATATTGTATTGTCGAAGGCTTTCATGGCCGGAATCACTGTGTTGTTGTAGGTCTTCCGGGCTATATGGCCATGTTCTAGAGGCATTTTCTCCTGACGTTTCGCCTGCATCTATGGCAAGCATCCTCAGAGGTAGTGAGGTCTGTTGGAATTAGGAAAATGGGTTTATATATCTGTGGAAAGACCAGGGTGAGACAAAGGACTTTTTTCTGCTGGAGCTAGGTGTGAATGTTTCAACTGACCACCTTGATTAGTAGGGCTGTGCGGTTTCGTTCGTTAATTTCATAATTCGTTATTAATTCGTTATTTTTTGGATAACGAAGCGATATTGAACCATTCAGGAGCAACTAAAAATCGAAACAAATTTTTCAATTCGTTTCGTAATTGTTTCGTAATTTCCGAAATTTCGTAAATATCGAACTTTTTTAAAGAAAATTTTCGGAATTCTTTTAAATAACGAAACGCAAAAAACCCCTAAAAACGAATTGAGTTTAGAAACAAATTTTTCCGTGGTTGGACAGCCCTTGATTAGCATTTGATGGCCTGGCAGTGCCTGGGGCAATCTTTTCTTGAGAGGTGATTAGATGTCCTTGATTGTTTCCTCTCTGTTGTTTTGCTGTTGCAATTTTTGAGTTTTTAAATACTGATAGCTAGATTTTGTTCATTTTCATGGTTTCCTCCTTTCTGTTGAAATTGTCCGCATTGATTTCATTTTCATTTTTTTAAATATTATTTTTCGTTGGTTGCTTGGGAGTTCCAATTAACGGAGCATCTATGGTATTGGCAATTGCATGTCCACTGTGATGGGTTTCTCTAAAATTTCAGCATCTTTTGCTGCAAACTCCAAGGGGATGGTTCTCCATAGGGAAAAGGGGAGGAATCCATACCAGACTTAAACAAAGCTGTCATATTATTTGCCATTATGAAAGGACCTTAATACCTGGGAGTTACCCTGGACTGTGCTCTGACTTACAAGAATCACTGGTTAACTATCAAGCAAAAAGTGGGTCTTCGAAATAATATAATGTGAAAGCTGACTGGCACAACCTGGGGATCACAACCAGACACAGTGAAGACATCTGCCCTTGCGCTTTGCTACTCTGTTGCTGAGTACGCATGCCCAATGTAGAGCACATCTCACCACGCTCAAACAGTGGATGCCGCATTATGGAGCCTCTGGTGGTGCAATGGGTTAAACCCTTGTGCCAGCAGGACCAAGATTGACAGGTCAGAGGTTCAAATCAGGGAGAGCGCAGATGAGCAACCTCTGTCAGCTCCAGCTACCCATGCGGGGACATGAGAGAAGCCTCCCACAAGGATGATAAAACATCAAAACATCCGGCCATCCCCTGAGCAAGGTCCTTGCAGATGGCCAGTTCTCCCACACCTGAAACAACTTGCAGTTTCCCAAAAAAAATTGCAGGATGTCTACACCCAACACCATTGGAGAAATTATAGTGTGTAGCCGGTATTGCACCACCTGAGACCTGTCAGGAAGTAGCAGCCAGCAATGAAAGAACTAAGGCATTGACATCTCCAGCCCATCCTCTGTTTAGATATCAGCCAGCAAGCCACTGCCTTAAATCACGAAATAGTTTCCTAAGATCTACAGAAACACTCACAGGAACGCTTTAGCAAGTGAGAGTCCAAAAGTGGCAGGTTAAAATGCAGAACCTCAATCAGTGGCTGATACCGAGTGAGAGACTCCCACCTGGGCACACAGAAGACTAGGCAACTTGGAAGGCGCTGAACAGACTGCACTCTGGCACCACGAGATGCAGAGCCAACCTTAAAAAGTGGGGCCACAAAGTGGAGTCCATGACATGCGAGTGTGGAGAAGAGCAAATCATTGTCCACCTATTACAATGCAGTCTGAGCCTTGCAACATGCACAATGGAGGACCTTCTTATAGCAACACCAGAGGCACTCCAAGTGGCTAGCTTCTGGTCAAAAGACATTTAGTATAATGCCAAGTTTTTAACTTTGTTTATGGTTTTTCTATACATTATAACTGTATTCTCAATTCACCGAAATGTAATGTTGGTGGACAGGAAAAGAGATTTAAAGATGGGCTTAAAGTCAGCCTTAAAAAGTGTGGTATAGACACCGAAAACTGGGAATCGCTGTAATTGGAGGTCAGCTGTGACCAGCAGTGCTATGGAATTCGAAGAGGCACAAATAGAGGGCAAAAGGAAGAAATGTGCCAAGAGGAAGAAGGTGTGCCAAGCCAACCCTGACCAGAACCACCGTCCGCCTGGAAAGCAATGCCCTCACTTCAGAAGAACATGTGGGTCAAGAAAAGTTCTCCACAGCCACCTACGTCTCCACCACCATCATCCTTGGGCTATGAGGGACCGCCTAAGTAAGTAATTCTCGATTCACTTTTGACACGAAAAATAAATGATTCAGACAGCTTTCTTTATGGAAGTATGTACAGACAAAAAAAATTAGAATGAGATCTACAGATAGGACTCCATACACCGCTGGATTTATATTTTCCTTATTTATTTCACATAGCATCCACATATTCCCACATCCATCTCCCAAAGTTAGGTTGCTTAGATCCTTTCTCTGCATTAATTTCAATATAGATTTATATCTTTATATTGTCTTATAATTGGCAACATCCAGGGTGAATTCCACTTGACAAGAAGGCAGAAAAGAGGGCTCCCGGCACTATTTGAACCTCTCTTGAAGGACAGGTCCTTCCTAGACATTGTTGTGCTCCATGACCTGTGCTCTTAGGTAGCCCCTGGTTTGTCCTCTGACTGCCTTGCTCCTCAGTTTTGGGTCTTTTCATGGCTAGTATTTATGTGCCAGGATCTATCCTAAAATCCTATCAGTCATATAGGAAAGGCAGTAGATAATCAAATCCACCCCAATCAACATGTATTCAGAAGAAGTCCACATACAGACCTGTTGGTCTCGGGATTTCTGCCTCCGTTGTCAAGACTTGATGATTTGTTGTGAGATTTACCGGCTCCCAAGATGGCCACTGTGGGACTTCGGCCAGAAACTTTGGGGGGTTTTTTGGGGGGGGGGTGTTTAGAAAAACCCCAAGATTAGGACATGCGGAAAATCACTGCCGCAAATCACTGCAAAAATTCCGTTCTTTGTCCTGGCCAGTGAAAATGTGCCCTTCACATGTTTAATGAAGTTTTTGGCATACAAACAAAGTTTTTGCTTTCTACTTAAATGTCACCTTCTTTTTAGGGACTGACCAATCAGGAACAAACATCTAAAACCCAGGACAAACCCAGATTTTTGATCGCAGGGACTTACAGACATGTGAAGGTCCACATATTTGGCTCAAAACCGCGATATTCCCACAGCTGGAAATCTCGTGTTTTTTGCCTTTGGAGCGATTACTTCCATGTTTACAGGGAACGGCATCTGGACACTCTCCAGCTGTGGAAGCTCTGGGATAAAGGTCCTGTCTGGATGGACCCTGAGCGTCATGCTGAAAATCACTCACTGGAGATGGGAACATCCAAATCAACAGAACAGGCCTCTGCTGCTTGCAGCAGCTGCTACCCTGTAAATGGTAAGTCAGGTTGGGAGATACTACTTAGTAGGCATGGACAGTCGCTCGAATAACTTGTTGCTCATAATAATTTTGTTAAAATTACCTTTTTGAAGTGATAGAAAAGCTTTTTTAAAAACCGGAAGTCCCTTTGCCCTTCTGAAGCTTTTTCTGGCACTTTTTGTTACGACTCAGGAATTGAGTTGGAAATTATAAAGCTTTTCCCCACTTCTGGTCCCTGGCCTAGGATCAAGCCACAAGAGCCAGTTTTAAACCAGAGAAGGAATGAATTTTTTGACCTTGGCTCAAGCTAGAGAAGCCAGTTTTAAAGCCAGAGAAGCTAGTTTTAAACCAGAGAAGGAAGGAATTTCCTCTGCTTGCTTTTCCCTGCTTCTGGTCCCTGGCTTCGGCTCAAGCCAGAGAAGCCAGTTTTAAACCAGAGAAGGAAGGAATTTCCTGGCCTTAACTCAAGCCAGAGAAGCCAGTTTTAAACCAGAGAAGGAAGGAATTTCCTGGCCTCGGCTCAAGCCAGAGAGGCCAGTTTTAAAGCCAGAGAAGCCAGTTTTAAACCAGAGAAGGGAGGAATTTCCTGGCCTTGGCTCAAGCCAAAGCCAGTTTCAAAGCTAGAGAAGCCAGTTTTAAACCAGTGATGGAAGGAATTTCCTGGCCTCAGTGCAAACCAGAGAAGCCAATTTTAAACCAGAGAAGGAAGGAATTTCCTGGCCTCGGCTCAAACCAGGCAAGCCAGTTTTAAAGCCAGAGAAGCCAGATTTAAACCAGAGAAGGAAGGAATTTCCTCTGCTTGCCTTTCCATGCTTCTGGGGTAAAACAACTACTTTCAAAGTAAAAAACCACCCAATAAAACAGAAAATAATACTTTCAAACCATTAATGAAAGGATTTGGAAGTCTCAGAAGTTTTGAAAAGTTTTGAATATTTTTTCTGTGAAAATTAGAATTGACTTTAGAATTGAACCACATCCAAAATGAGTTTTGAACCAAGCCTACTACTTAGCTATGCTAAGTACATGATACAGAATCAAGGGCAATAACATCTTTAAAAACACACAAATGTGCATTATTGGGGATTGGAAGTTTTGAGGCAGCCTGAGAACCCCCACATCACAGTGAGCAAAATGCAGTACGTACATCAGATGCAGCTCCTCAAAACTGATATGAAGCCCCCAGTGCCTATATCATTGCATCTCCATGGATTCTGCCACTCCTGGAGTCCTCCAAATAGAGTACATTCTTGTATTAACAACCCCTCCAAATAATGTTTCCCTTCCCCTTGACATTTCTGAGCCTGTTACACCTTTCTTCTCCATACCGAGTATTACTATACAAGACAAGCAATTAAATGCAAAAAGTACAGAATTGGTTGTATTATTACTGTTCTTGACACAGAAGTGGCTGTTCTTGACACTCTGACGACAATTTCGCTTTCTTTTTTTTCAAAGCACAGTGTGTACCCAGCTCTCCGCTATGAATGGAGGTTAATGTCACCATGATGATTGAACATCTGTTGAGTTTGTCTTTGGAATGCAGGGGGGGAAAATGTTGTTTTCATGCGCGAGCTTCACATTGGTTCATCCGTTTCACGTCTCCATCTTTAATGAAAGCAGTGTGAATGGCTTTCAAGGATACATTTCCTCTGCTTATGCCGTGCTGCTTTTGTGGAGCTGTACTCATGTATTATTTCACACCTGAAAAGGTCTGTCATGGCAGCTTTACAACTACAACGCAGGTGCCGGCTCTTCCGATGTTGACTGGAACTTCCTATAAAGCACAGAAGATGTTTAGTTAATGCCCTGCAGCGTGTGGCTTGTCACTCTGAATGAATCAGGATAACAAGACGACTTTCCTCCTACTTTCCTTCTGAATAACCGTCTATCTCCTGCCAAAAGTACATGGAACAGTTTGTTCCATCCAGAATGTGGCAAGATCCTGATCTTACATCACTCAGGCTCCGTGCAACAGGAAGCTTTGTCATGTCACAATTGCTATTTTCCAATATATGATAGAATATGCTGATCTGGAAGCATCAGGTCGGTGATGGAAATAGCAACCTTCCAAGCCTCCACTAACTGTCTGTAAATGTGTATAATTGTTAGCCTATATTGTATGTACATATTGTATGTACAAGAGCGGGTTGTGGCACAGCTGGTTGGGAGTCAACTGCATTAAAATCACTACTGAGTTCAAAGCCAGCCCATCTATATAAATAAATTATTATTATTATTATTATTATTATTATTATTATTATTATTATTATTAAGGAAGGTGATGGTTATGTCAGGACCTTTCCTCCAGCTTATGGACCACGTAGTGGCACAGCTGGTTGAGAGTCAGCTGCATTAAAATCACTACTGACCAAAAGGTTATGAGTTCGAAGCCAGCCTGGGTCGGAGTAAGCTCCCGACCATTTGTCTAGCTTGCTGTCGACCTTTGCAGCCTGAAAGACAGTTGCATCTGTCAAGTAGGAAATTTAGATGCTGCTTAATTTTTAATTTTGTTATGCTGTTTACTCTGTATGTTTTGGTGATGTTGCTTGGAAACCGCTCTGAGTCCCCCTCGGAGAGCTAGAGTGGTATATAAATAAAGTTTTATTTTATTATTATTATTATTATTATTATTATTATTATTATTATTATTATATTAAGGAAGGTGATGGTTATGTCAGGACTTTTGCTCCAGCTTATGGACTGGGTTGTGGCACAGCTGGTTGGGAGTCAGCTGCATTAAAATCACTACTAATCCAAAGGTCATGAGTTCGAAGCCAGCCTGGGTCAGAGTAAGCTCCCGGCCATTTGTCTAGCTTGCTGTCAAGTAGGAAATTTAGGTACCGCTTATGTGGGGAGGATAATTTAACTAATTTATGATGCCATAAAACTTTCCAGCAGCATGCAAAACAATGAGGAAGTACTCCATCTGTGTCACAAGTGGATGGTGAAGCGACGGCTACCCTGGTGGCCGGAATTCAAAAAGCATACCCTCATGAAGCTGGAAAGTTAAATAGCCTCTGTGTGTCTGTCTATATATGTTGTGTGTTTGCCAGATATATGTGCATTGTGATCTCCCCTGAGTCTCCTGTGGGGTGAGAAACCCACTTTGAGAGTTTCTGTAACTGAGTTGGTGGGATTGTTGTTGTTTTTCTGTTGTTCTTTGTTTATAGATGTCTAGAAACAATAAGAGTAACTTTTTTTCTTGTTTCCTTTACTACAGGTGCCTAGAGTTTTACATGTAGCACTAACACCCTGCACTCTCCTAGAACAAAATATCAAACAGAATGAATGTCTGGCTAGACAGGGATTCCCAACCGATGGGATGTGGCCCAATAGTAGGTCGCAAGACCTAAAATAACGTCTGCAAGACATGCAGGGAAAATTGGTGCTGGGGGTGAGTACTGCCATTGGAGGAGAGGGAGAGAAAGACGGAAGGAGACATCAGAAGTCTGACTTGGCCACGGTAGTCCACGCTCTGGTTACATCCCGCCTAGACTACTGCAATGCTCTCTATGTGGGGTTGCCTTTGAAGACGGCTCGGAAGCTCCAACTAGTCCAACGCTCGGCAGCCATGATTCTAACAGGAGCGGAGCGCAGGGAGCATACAACCCCCCTGTTGCGCCAACTCCACTGGCTACCGATCTGCTACCGGGCTCAATTCAAAGTGCTGGCGTTGGCCTTTAAAGCCCTAAACGGTTCCGGCCCAAGCTACCTATCCGCCCGCATCTCTGCCTATGAACCCACCAGGACTTTGAGATCTTCCGGGGAGGCCCTGCTCTCGATCCCGCCTGCTTCTCAAGCACGGCTGGCGGGGACGAGAGATAGGGCCTTCTCGGTGGTGGCTCCTCGGCTGTGGAACGCCCTTCCTACCGACATTAGACTAGCACCATCTCTAATGGTATTCCGCAAAAAAGTGAAGACCTGGCTGTTTGAGCAGGCGTTCGAATAATTAGTGCAATGATTGGTTAATGAACACTGGAATGGAACAATGGATGACGAATCTGGAACATGTTTTTGATGATGAGACGACAGTGAATGGGTATTGTAGTAACTGTTTATTAATTGTGTAATGTGTTAGGTTGTTACTGTTTCTATACTGTAGCACTGAATTTTTGCTGTTCGTATTTGTTGTGAACCGCTGTGAGTCGCCTTCGGGCTGAGAACAGCGGTATAGAAGTAAGGTAAATAATAATAAATAAATAAATAAGTGTGTTGCTCTCACCAGCATTTTCTTGGCCTTGGTCTCCCCATCCGCTTTTTGTAGTTTTTTCAATCACAGCCCCCTCCCCTTCTTTTTTGAACATGTAGCATTTGTAGTTTAAGGAGTTTAGGCCTTTAATAACACAGCCTAACAAAAAAATTCTTCGTGTCTTCATTTTTAGGCCTGTTCCTGGGGTTCTTTGGGGTGCTGATTAAGAAAACTGTATTGGATAGACCACATCACCTCTAGATTATTAAATATGGTTTTCTGTGGGCCAGCAGATGGCAACTATTCGATGGCATGTGTTCTGTATCAGAAACTAGAGCTGATGTGGTCTATTCAATGCAATTTTCTTAATCAGCACTCCAAATAACCAAACTGAATCTAAAGTTGACCAAAAACAGATTCGTAACCTTTTTGGTACTAATGTTGGAGTGATTCCTAGTCAATGTGGTCCCTGGTCAAAAAAAAGGTTGGGAATCACTGGGCTAGAAGAAGCATTAAGGAGTGGCGGATTCTGTGAACAGAACAGTTGTTGAATATAGTAGAGTTATAAGTGGGATAACAATGAGGAGCTTATTAGGAGGAGAGGGAACAAAACCAAAGGAAAGTACCTCTGTCCATTCGTTATTTTGGGCATCATAGGATTCCACGGTATCCAGGTAGGTGTGTCCATCGTAGCCTCCGACTGCATATAGCCTGTCTCCAAGAGGACAGACCCCTACAGCATCCCGAGGAACACTCAATGGAGCTACAGTCGTCCAAGTGTCTGTCTTTGGATCATACCTAGAATATTTTGGACACATTTAACAAACATTAAGTGTTAGACTCTAAAAAACAACAGATTATATTCAGTTCTTGTGGGTTTTTTCGGGCTATATGGCCATGTTCTAGAGGCATTTCTCCTGACGTTTCGCCTGCATCTATGGCAAGAATCCTCAGAGGTGAGGTCTGCTGGAGCTGGGAAAAAGGGGTTTATATATCTGTGGAATGACCAGGGTGAGACAAAGGGCTTTTGTAAGTTGGACTAGGTGTGAATCTTTCAACTGACCACCTTGATTAGGATACAATGGGCTGACTGTGCCATGGGCTGACTGTGCCTGGAGTTTGCTCCAGGCACAGTCAGCCCATTGTATGCTAATCAAGGTGGTCAGTTGAAAGATTCACACCTAGCCCAACTTACAAAAGCCCTTTGTCTCACCCTGGTCATTCCACAGATATATAAACCCCTTTTTTCCCAGCTCCAGCAGACCTCACTACCTCTGAGGATGCTTGCCATAGATGCAGGCGAAACGTCAGGAGAAATGCCTCTAGAACATGGCCATATAGCCCGAAAAAACCCACAAGAACTGAGTGATTCTAGCCATGAAAGCCTTCGACAATACAACAGATTATATTATTCTTAGTCATAGGCTATCACATGCAGCCGTGTATGATTGCCTTCCAAGTGTAGGGTCTTGGTAGTGGGTCCGTAGGTGGCTGTAGAGACTATTCTTAGGATATCACTCTCAGGATAGTGGTCACCTTTCTTAAAGTAGTTTTTATGACAATTGAACTTGTTGACCGAAAGGTCACAGGTTCGAATCCGGGGAGCAGCGTGAGCTCCCGCTGTTAGCCCCAGCTTCTGCCAACCTAGCAGTTCGAAAACATGCAAATGTGAGTAGATGAATAGGTACCGCTCCGGGGAAGGTAACAGCTCCATGAGTCATGCTGACCACATGACCTTTGGAGGTGTCTACAGGACAACACTGCTCTTCGGCTTAGAAATGGAGACGAGTGTTGCATCCAGAGCAGGGAACGAGGCCCTAAGATAACTATCCACCACACTTGACTGTGAAAAACAATCCTTTTTTATTGAAGAAAAATGATTACAAAATAAAGGAAAAATGCAAGTCAAAAGCCACAGCAAAATCAGCAAACATGAATTTAAATGGACAAAGCAAAACCCAAAGCCACACTGTAAATACTGGAACCTGTTAGCAATCCACTAACCGTACTTGATATCCTAGAAATCTTTCAAAACCATGGCCAGGGGAAACCGGGAGAACTGCCAAGGTCTTCATTAATCTGAAACGATGCCTGAACTGAGAAAGTCAGCCCGGCGGAAGGCAATTAAAGCCAAAGAATTGGTTCCGTGAACCGCCCCTCTTCTTTGAAGCCAATGTTTGTAATTCTTTAATTCGGGAAGACCTTCGCAAGCTGAGTGATTTACTTCTGTCTTGCCAAATCTGGCCCCTTCTGTTGTCATTACAGTTACCAGGTGCAGAAGGGAGTGAAAGGTCATGGCTTCCCTCTGAAACATTCTCATGAACACTGGTATTTTCATTTTCCAAATCTATAGAAGTTTCTTCCTCACTAATTTCAGGAACATTGGCATTTTCCAAACCTACAGCAGTTTCTTCCTCACTAATTTCAGGAGCATTGGCATCAAGAGGTACATTTTCATTAGCATCAGTAAATATATTTTCATTAGCATCAGGAGGAACAAACAGAGAATCAGGTTCAAGTTCAAACTCAGGCTGAACCCCAACACACACCCCAGAGTTAGACACGACTGGACTTAATGTCAGAGGAAAACCTTTACCTTTTTACTATGACCATTGTTGGCAAAGAGTTCCACTGGATCCTGCCCACAAACATTTCCGTCAGGAATTATTTTTGGCATGTGGTTAAGTGAAACAGTGGATATCAAATCCATGGATCCGGATGTCATATTAAACTGCTTCTTGCTCTTTTGGGACCTCATCACACTAGAGCATGGATCCACTTCAAATCTGGTTGCTGCCTCTTGCAGGATTCTGGAGTTTGTGGTTTAGGGAGTTTAGGCCTTTATACTGCTCTGCTAGACAAGTCTTGGGCCTCGCTAAACTACAAACCCCAGAATTCTGCAGGAGGCAGCAACCAGATTTAAAGTGGATCCATTCTCTAGTGCAGTGGTTCCCAATCTTTGGTCCGTGGACCACCAGTGGTCCGCTAGAACGAAAATATGGTCCGTGGCTTCAGTATTACTACACCATTGCCTCAAAATCACGTAGCAGCAAGAGCGACTGGTCTCGCAAAACCCTCTTATAGTGCCGAGACAACGAGAATGTTGGGACAGGAGAGACTGACTACTCATGAAAGATTACTACTACCACATCAACTCTAGATTATTGAATATGGTTTTCTGTGGGCAAGAAGCTGGTGACTACTTGATGTCATATGTTCTGTATCAGAAACTAGAGCTGATGTGGTCTATGCAATGCAATTTTCTGAATCAGCACCTCAAATAACCAAACCGAATCTAAAGTTGACCAAAACCAGTTCGTAGCACCTCCTATGGCTGGAGTGAGTGCACCCTACAGATGCCGGAAAAGAGGGAAACCTTTACCTCTGTCTGTGTATTGTCTGTCTTTGTTGTTAATTGTATAACGACACTGAAAGTTTTCCATATAAATGTTTGTTAATCTGCTCTGGGGGGCCTTGGTGGTGATGGCGGAGGGCCCCCGCCAACGATTGGCCTGCACTGCAGCGGAGAGTTCCGCAGTTCCTGGTTGTCACAATTGGAAGAAACTGGTGAAATGTGCTCCAGCAGGCAGCTCAATAATAAGACTGCACTCAGCCTTTCTTTGCTTTCCCTTCTCCCTACATTGTAACATTCCCCTAATAAAGCACTTGGAACTTGCAACATTTAATCTTTCCGCTTGATACTTTTGTATCTTTCCTGCCCCAGACTAATTCAACATTAAAATAACCCTTTTCCCAGGCTCCAGAGGGCCGTGGGCCTGCGGGGAGGTGCCTCCAGGCACCCCCCGGACCAAGGATCTGTGTTCGCCCAATTCGCGGATACTGAAACCGCCATTTTGGACCCCAGTAACCACTAAAACAGTAATATGGCGGATCGGCGCCGTTCTAATTTTGTATTTTTCTGCCATTAATTCTAAGACTAACTGCTATCTTGCTTTCCTCATTTTTGGGCCCCTGCGCTCGGGGAATAATCGTTTTGTTTAAAGTATTATTATTAGACAGCAAACAGCTGATTGCCAAAACTCTGCTGGCTCGGTGAAAGCAGCCTGTTATTTCCTTGCTACCACTCATTCCTACTCGTGCCCTGCCATCAGGGGCTTGCTGTGGGCACCCACAGGAGGACCCGGAGAAGCAGCCAGGCCGGCCCCCGGCCCCAGCGCGGAAGATCTAGTACGCCAAGGGCCGAACTATGGATTCTGTTGCTTCCTGACCCAGCGCACATAACTGGGTTCCTGTTTCCTCTTTGTGCACTCTCTGACTTGTGCACTGGACTACGGACTCTCTTGCCCTCACTTATTGACTTTTTGCCTTATTGTCTTGGACTGTTTCCCTGCCATACTTTTTGGACACAAACCCCAGACCGGGCTTGCCTGGAGAGACAAGCAGCCTCAGCCTACGTGCGCCTTCACCAAGAAGATTGTGATTTCTACAGAAATGAAATACATTTATTATTTTTTAATAAACTTTGCTGGGATGGGGATGGGAATTCATCTATGTAATGTATGAAGTATATATGATATCTATCACATGAAATGTACCCTGACTCCCTTCCCCACCTTTTCCCTCTGAACTTTGCCCCAAAAAGGAACGTGACCTGAGGTTACTGTTAAGAGGAAATCCCTTTTCCTCCAGGTAAACCAGTCCATATTTACATCTGCATGGGTCCGTGATTGATCCTGTCTCGAGGCTCATTTTCAGAGCAGACAATGAGATAAGAGATGGGTCAACAGAAACTCCGGTAGAAAGATTGATTAACTCAATTTTTGGTGTTTGTTGAGCTCCTTTGTCTACAGGGCCCCTTGTTTACAGAGTTTTGAGATCCAAATGCCATCAACAGCCCCTTTTCATATTTTCTCTCAAATCCTATCACCGGACCAGGAAACTCTTTGTTCCTCCTGCCTGCCACCCCGCTGATAAGAACAAAGGCTCGGAAACAGCTGGCAAGTGCCCCCTGGGCACTCCGCTTCCCCTGAGCTGTCAAACTTCGTCCCGCCTCCTGGCCTCTGATTGGACCATCTTCAGAGGCGCTAGGGAGGCTCCGATTGGCCCCCTAGAGGCGGCAGCGCTCGCTGGTTGGTCGGGAGGCGGGACATGCGGCCAAGCCTCCTCCCAGCTGTTCCAGGGCCAGCCAATCAGGGCGAAGCCGGCCGACGGAGGGCGGGCGGGATTTTCAAACTGATTTTCCTTTGTTCTGACTGTATAAATTTGCTACCGGGCCCAATTTAAGGTGCTGGTGTTATCCTACAAAGCCCTAAACGGTTCCGGCCCAAAATACCTTTCGGACCGCATCTTGGCCTATGAGCCCACGAGGACCTTGAGATCGTCTGGGGAGGCTCTTCTCTCGATCCCGCCTGCTTCACAGGCACGTCTGGCGGGGACGAGAGAAAGGGCCTTCTCGGTGGTGGCCCCCCGGCTGTGGAACGACCTCCCTGCTGACATCAGACAGGCGCCCTCCCTTCTGTCCTTCCGTAAGAGCCTGAAGACCTGGCTATTTGAGAAGGCATTCAACTGAGCGCTACGGCAACTGGTAATTGACAACTGGAACGGAATACGGATTACGATATTGGTTATGATTCTATGATGTGACGGAGCGGATTATTTAGTGTAACTAGATTATAGTGTATTATTGTTGTATTGATTTCCTGTTTTGCCCTCTTGTAAACTGTTTTTATATGTTGTGCACCGCCGCGAGTCGCCCTAGGGCTGAGAGCGGCGGTCAATAAATGCAGTAAATAAATAAATAAATAATAAATAAAAATGCCGGAAAATCTTTGTGCTGGATGCTTGCAGTGGAATGATTCCTGCAATGCATCTGATCTCAGCTGAATCACAATAAACCTCGGTTGCTGAAAAGAAACTTCTTCCACTTGGATGAGGCATTATTATTTATAATATTTTTACTCTTTGGATTGGCTCTCGCTGGCCTCACCAAGGGACCCAGAGCCCTTTAGGCGCGGTCCTCGGGTTTCTCTCTCTCAAGGAGACCCTGCTAAAAGCAGCTCGATATCAGTGGCACAGTGGGTTAAACCGCTGAGCTGCTGAACTTGATGACCGAAAGGTTGCAGGTTCAAATCTGGGGAACAGGGTGAGCTCCCGTTGTTAGCCCCAGCTTCTGCCAACATAGCAGTTCAAAAACATGCAAATGTGAGTAGATTAATAGGTACCGCTCCGGCGGTAAGGTAATGGCACTCCATGCAGTCATGCTTGCCACATGACCTTGGAGGTGTTTATGGACAACGCCAGCTCTTTGGCTTAGAAATCGGACACAACTAATAATAATAATAATAAATACAACTTTGTTTATACCCCGCTATCATCTCCCCAAGGGACTCGGTGCGGCTTACATGAGGCCGAGCCCACAATACATCAGTAAAAACAATAACAACAGTAATACAAATCAATACATAACTCATAATAAAAATAATCAGTAAACATTAACAATAACATGACGATGTTTAAAAACCTATGGCTGGGCCAAATGTAATAATTAAAATTTTAAAAATAATGCTGAGCATGACCAGGTGGGATAGAAAATTTTCGGAGAAGGATGAGGCGCACAGACAATCCTAGATCACTAATAAAGTGCATTTTGAGGGCATATTGCTGAGAGATTTCCTTATTCTGGGAAGGCACACTGAAACAACCACGTTTTCAGGCTCCTCCTAAAGACTGCCAGAGTTGGGGCATGCCTGATATCCTTGGGGAGGGAGTTCCAGAGTCGAGGGGCCACCACCGAGAAGGCCCTTTCCCTCGTCCCCGCCAATCGTGCCTGCGATGGAGGTGGGAGCGTGAGCAGGGCCTCTCCAGATGATCGAAGACATTTCGTGGATTCGTATACAGAAATGTGGTCACGCAGGTAGGCGGGTCCCAAACCGTTTAGGGCTTTGCAGGTAAGAACCTGCACCTTGAATTGGGACTGGAAAATGAACTGGACTTAATGTCAGGGGAAAACCTTTATCTTTGCCTAACCCTTTTGGTACTAATGTTGGAGAGTGGTCCCTGGTCAAGTTGTCCTTGGTCAAAAAAAAAAAAGATTGGGAACCACTGCTCTAATGTGATGAGGTCCTCAGATGTCTTTGCCCTGAAGCCAAATGGTATTGCCTTCATTCCGATTTGGTCCGGGGAAAACAACATTTCTTGTCTAGCTAGAAAGCAATGCATGACACTTCGGAGTGGAAGAAGCATGCATCAGGAACAGAAAGTGACTGAGATAGCATAAGAGAGTCTGAGTGCTTCCAAAGCTGAAGGACGGAAGTTCCTTTAAGGAAACGTTGATTCAGCTTTGTTCCGAGTACAGAGCAAAAACTGGGGCATCCGATACCTCCTTGTTTGGCCACTAGAGAGCCCTCCAGGCTCATCTTCAGGGTCTGCCTTTGATGGTCCCTCACATTGTGCGCTGAAAAATCACAAATATACTGTGCATTCCGAATAGCCATGAAGCATGAAGTGCTAATATTATGAAAGTCAAGCAGCCGTTTCCAAATATTTTCCCACTTGAAGGATTTCAAATAATTGCACGACCAAAAGCAAGGCATTTCTAGTATTGTCACTATAGTTCTAAGTAATGTTTTTGACTGCGTACCACTTAAAACGTGTTAAGTCAATCGCTTGCCTTTGTAACAAACTAACTTATGAGCAATTTAAATGTGGGAGCCTCCGAAAGACATCTTGAATATGAGAATTGATAATTTACCCATTGTTAGATGGCAAGACAACTAATCTCTGTGTGTTCATATGTTATGTATATGCACATACAAAAGGGCTAGATATGATTTCATGAATTGTGACTTTGGCCCCATCGATACTGCATTATATGGTCAGTGTAGGTTCATATAATGCAATCAAATGCATTTAAGCTGCATTATATGAGTCTTCACCAGGCATGGGCAAACTTGGGCCCTCCAGGTGTTTTGGACTTCAACTCTCACCATTCCTAACAGCCTCAGGGCCCTTCCTTCTCCCCCTCAGCCACGTAAGTGTTGGTTATGGGCCCAGCACTCAACTTAACATTGGTTATGGGCCCAGCACTCAGCTTAACATTGGTTATGGGCCCAACACTCATCTTATTTATTTATTTATTTATTTACTTCATTTGTTGACCGCCGCTCTCAGCCCTGGGGCGACTCGCGGCGGTGCACAACATATAAAACAGTCTACAAAAGCATACAATAAATCGACAACCAAATTACACATTAATCTAAATTACAATAATAAATCCGCGCCATCATAACATATCGACATAGCCAATCTCATAATCCAAGGTCCGTTCCAGATGTCATTACCATATTCGTGTAGGTCTCAATTAAATGCCTTCCCGAATAACATTGGTTATGGGCCCAACACTCATCTTAACATTGGTTATGGGCGCAACACTCAGCTTAACATTGGTTATGGGCCCAGAATTCAGTTTAACATTAGTTATGGGCCCAGCACTCAGCTTAACATCGGTTATAGGCCCAGCACTCAGCTTAATATTGGTTATGGGCCCACACTCAGCTTAACATTGTTTATGGGCCCATCACTCAGCTTAACATTGGTTATGGGCCCGGCACTCAACTTAACATTGGTTATGGGCCCAGCACTCAGTTTAACATTGATTATGGGCCCAGCACTTTGCCTAAGCATCTGAGGGGGAAAAGGAAGGAACCTGGGGCTGTTAGGAATGGTGGGAGTTGAAGTCCAAAACACCTGGAGGGCCCAAGTTTGCCCACGCCTGGTCTACATTCACCATTAGATGGGAACAAATTCACAGTATAACATCTTTGTTGGTTTGACCTTCCATTTTTGGAGGCTATCAAATTGGATCTTTGATTATTTTTAATTAAGAATATTTTTTTAAAAAAAACATGCAATTAGAATCCTATTGATGGCTCATGCTCATGTAACCTGGGACTAATGCAGTTGCATGTCCTTTTGCAAACATTATAGAAGCCAGTATACAGAAGGCAGCTTCAATGATCTGGAGATTGCAAGCATCTAACTCAGGGGTTCTCAACCTGTAGGTCCTTGGGTGTTTTGTCCGACAACTCCCAGAAATCCCAGCCAGTTTAATGGCGCTCCATGCAGTCATGCCAGTGGCCACATGACCTTGGAGGTGTCTACAGACAATGCTTAGAAATGGAGATGAGCACCAACCCCTAGAGTTGGACAGGACTGGACTTAATGTCAGGGGACAACCTTTACCTTTACCTAGGATTTCTGGGAGTTGAAGGGCAAAACATCCGGGGACCATTTATCTAATTCCTTTATTATCCATACCTTTCCACACAATCCGAAAGACGAGAGCAGTGGTTAGAAGCAGGTGCGTCGTGACCTCCCACCACATACAGAAACCCATTGTAGGTTGCAACGCCAACGCCTCCCCGTCGCTTCGACATCGGGGCACATATGCTCCATTTGTTTGTGTGAGGATCAAAACACTCCATGGATTTTAAGCAAGAGCTGCCATCTCGCCCACCGACTGCATACAACCTGGAGTAGCCAACAGGAAAACAACTGGGTTAAATGTGCTAGAGCAGGATGTCCCACCAAAACAAACTTTTTGCCGTTTAATAACCCTTTCCTGTGATTTTATGACAGAACCAATTAGGGAATGAGATTTACAACCCAGGAACAAGAACCATGTTGCATAATGTAATCAGTCTCTTGAAGTCTTCATCTCATCTCTCCAAAGATTCCTAGTCGTGAAGCTAGATGTAAGAACCCAGACTCTGATGTTATGTTTCTGTACTAAGTGTTTCTCTTTACTTAAATTAATCTTTAATACATATTCCAAGCACGACTTCCCAGTAGTACTGAACAGGAGGAGCAAATATAACTTGGTGGGGTTAATACGAGGGGCTGCTGATAAGTCTTTGGCTTTACCTGGAAAGAAAGGAGATAGGAAGATAAAACTTTACATTTATTCCACATACTCTCCACTGATATCAACACACTTCTTACATCGGCATTCCAAGTTCTGTAAGCCTTGCAAAAAGAAGGATCTTGGTTGTGCCTCAAACCAATAATCTGTAGCAGCCAAGGAGTCAGAAATGGTGTGAAATTTGGTACCCTTGAGATGTTTCTTCAGGTTTGGAAACAGATGATAGTCAGAGGGAGCTAGATCCGGTGAATAAGGTGGGTGGTTAACCAGCTGGAAGCCTAGCTCCACCAGTTTTGTCATGGTTGCTTGTGCAATATGAGTGGAGGTGTTGTCTTGCAGGACAACACCTTTTGGGCTTCAGAGATACCTTCAAATGTTCCAAAAGTTCAGTGTAATACCTTGCATTGATGGTGGAACCATTTTTAGGGTAGTCCACTAGCAGTACAGTCTCCTTATCCCAGAACACAGACGCCATCACCTTAGTGGCTGATTTTTGCACCCTGAACTTCTTTGGACGAGGAGAACCATTGTGCCTCCACTCTTATGACTGCTCCATGGTATCACAGTGATACAGATAAATCCAGGTTTCATCCATAGTGACCAGTCTATCCAGGAAGTTCTTATCAGTCTGGAAAAGTTGACAAATGGACCAAGAAGTTTTCACTCACACATTTTTCTGAGCTGTTGTCAAACATTTGGGGACCCACTTTGCAGAGAGCTTCTTCATGTTAGAATGTTTGTGGATAATGACACACACACGTTCACGAGAAATCCCCATGAAATCTGCTATTCCTTTAGATGAAATTTGACGATTCTCCAATATGAGGTTGTGCACAGCATCGACGATCTCCAGAACAACAACCACGCTCGGTCGTCCAGGATGTTCCTCATCATTAGTGCTGAAGTGGCCTGTTTAAAATTTGGAAACCCAGTTCTTAACTGTAGAATATGAAGGTCATTGATCCCACAATGTCTGCAACATATCACCATGAATATCCTTCATGGACTTTCCTTGCAGAAACAAGAATTTTATCACTCCTCTGCCCTCATTTGATGTGAATATCACCTTAGACTCTGCCATTTTGTTTTCCCGTGTGCCTAGATCACTGTTGCCATAAGCTACAAACACAAAATTTTGAAAACATATATTGGACACATAAGGCTTTCATGTGATAAAACATTGGTTACCATAGAAACAAAACAAAAACACAAAGCCAAAGACTTATCAGCAGCCCCTCGTACATGTGTATTTATGTATATGTTTCCATGCAAGTGTGTGAAAGAGAGGATAATTCAGTTGTACATACTTGCTGTTGAGTGCTGCAACCCCCACGGTGCTCCTAGGGGTTGCCATGCTGGCTACATAATTCCACTGCCGAGCCTGAGGATCCCATCTCTCAACTGTATTGAGGTAGCTCCAGCCATCGTGGCCTCCCACTGCATACATCGGTCCTTCAAGCATTGCTACACCTGAGGACAAGAGAGTGGAAGTAATTCTGGAACTATAAAACAGCTGAGGGTGAAAAGGATGGGGCCTGAGGCTGTTAGAAATGGTGGGAGTTGAAGTCCAAAACACCTGGAGGGCCCAAGTTTGTCCATGCCTGCTCTAACATCTGCATGACTGATGGATCTCCGTGCTGCAAATGAACCTATTGAATTTGGTGAGTTTGCAAGGACTGACTAAATTGGCACTTCCCTTTAAAATTCAAATATCCAAGAGAGGCAAACTGACAAATTCACCCATCTCTCAGCTTGTCAAATTGGCAATTGAGTTTCATCGTCTTTGGGATTTTGGGGATTTTAATTCGGAGGCTCCTTTCTCTTTTTAACAGCTGACATTTCCAGCGTGTCATTACCGACTGGCTGTTTCGAACCGCCTGTCATCTTTACCTAATCCGTGCCTGTGAGTTGACATTGGAGGCATCACAGTCCAGGCTTTGGTGATTGGATTGAAACATTCGACTGTATTGGAAGTTTTCAAGCCGTCCCTTCCTCCCACGATGTAGATCTTGTTGTCAATCACAGCCACTCCAAACTGGAGCCGCCTCCCATTCATGGTTCCAATCTGTATCCAGCTGTTTGTCCTCAAATCGTATTTCTCAATAGTTGTGGTGCCTGTTGAAATGAGAGACAGTAAATTGGATGGTGTACTATTGCTTTCTGAGGCATGTTGAATGAGATTTAATTGAGTCTCTGGAGCGTTCGAGGATCTGGGTGGTGCAAAAAGCCCACAGGCTATAATTTGCTAGTCAACATCCTATGAGTGAGAACCACAAAAAAAACTTTCTCAGTTCTACAGTTATGTCTAACATGGTAACTAGCATTAAGACCAGCCTGACATGGAACATATGGGAAATTCTCTGACCCAAGGAATATTGAACACTTCAAGCAATTGTATGTGTAGTGGCATCTAAATTATGGATGTTTTGCAGCCATCACACAGGCAGGGGTTGGGTGTGACAGATAATTAATAACATGCTTCACTTCATTAAACTATGAAAATGCTACTTCTATATAAATAAAAATGTAATGTTCCTTTGTGGGAGTAACATAACTCAAAAACCACTGGGTGAATTGACACCAAATTTGGACACAAGTCACGTATCAGGCCAATGAGTGACCATCACTCAAAAAAACCACTGAAAAACACAGTGGAAGAGACTTAAAAGGCCAGAAAACAAAAAATACACTACAACGCATGTGCAAAATAATATATATGTGTGTGTGTGAGTGCAAACACACATATACACAAATATATACATATATATATACACACAAAACAGATATACACAGACTGGGCCACAGCAATGCATGGCAAGGGATGGCTAGTTGAAAATAAAAGAATATCCAACATCACATGAATTCTGGAGCCCCGTTTCACTTATTTATTGTGACTTAAGCTTTCATGGACCACAGGGTGCTTCTTACCTTTGGTGGCATCCATGCCTCCCACAGCATAAAGAGAGCCAACGGTGGACTTCCTAGGCTTGGTGCGAGGGCTTTGCAGCATCGACCTCCTTTCTGGGAGCAGGTGATACTTCATGGCTTCCATGAGAAGCTTCTGGCACTCAAGGTCGTCCGTAAACATAGGGCTGTTTTCCAGATCTGCCAAGAGCTAAAACAGGCAATGTTTCGCTATTCATACTGAAAGAAGCATGCTATTATTATTATTATTATTATTATTATTATTATTATTATTTCTGGTACTTCTACCCCGCCCTTCTCAACCCCCGAGGGGGGACTCAGGGCGGCTTACAAAAAAAGGCAGAATTCGATGCCTACACAAGATATACATACATACAAAACAGCAGTTAAAACAATTAGCGAATTAAAATAATCAGTACATAACACAATCAGTAAAACTAATCTCATGTTCAGCGTTCAGAGTTCCATAGTTCCATTCCGTTTTGTCAATTCCATCGTCAAGTCTTTCTTTAGCTGCCAGAATGTCCAAATGCCTGGTCCCAAATCCAAGTTTTCAATTTTTTCCTAAAGGAAAGGAGGGATGTCGCTGATCTAATTTCCCCTGGGAGTGAATTCCACAGGTGAGGGGCCACCACTGAGAAGGCCCTGCTCCTTGTCCCCGCCAATCTCACTTGTGATAGAGGCAGGGTCAAGAGCAGGGCCTCCCCAGAAGATCTTGGACTCCGAGATGGGACGTAGAGGGAGATCCGTTCGGACAGATACACTGGGCTGGAACCGTATAGGGTTTTGTAGGTCAAAACCAGCACTTTGAATTGTGCTCGGAATTGGATCGGCAGCCAGTGGAGCTGACACAACAGGGGGGTGGTATGCTCCCTGTATGATGCTCCGGTGAGCAATCTGGCTGCCTCCCGCTGGACTAGTTGGAGTTTCCGAACAGTCTTCAAAGGCAACCCCACGTAGAGTGCGTTGCAGTAATCTAATCGGGATGTAACAAGAGTGTGGACCACCGTGGCTAGATCCGACTCATCTTTGCACCTCATCACATCTTTGCACCTCATCACATTGATTTATTTCCCCATCCAAGGTAGAGTTGTGTACTGAATTATTTTCCTTAGTTTCATCTGTTCTTTTGTTTCTTTTGTTACCTTCAGGAACATGTAACAGGAAGTCCCTTTCCAGTAAGAAATTCAGCTCAACACGAAAACAAGCAGGAGCCAATCTTGGCTCCTCACCTGCTTTTTGTGAGCACATGGTGCTCCATGCATCTTTGCCTTGGAAAGAGTGTGTGCGTGCATGCACGCGTGTGCATGCCATGCAGGCCCAGAAAGTGCAGGTGCCCATCTGCAGCTGAGTACCTCCTCTAGGGTAAGAATGAGAAGTTGCTTGTTACCTCTTGGCCTTGAAAACAGTGTGTGTGTGTGTGCGTGCATGCGTGACGTGCAGGCCCAGAAATTTAACCCAAATTAAACAAAACAATATGAAGTAAGTAAGGGAAGACCAAACATCTATTGGCTATTACAAAGGCTGTGTACAGCACTAAAGTAGCAAATTCCAAAAGGTGTTCAATTAATCCACTTCTGAAGTGTGGTGTGACATCCAATGCACAAATCTTGATGGTGATGTGATAACCTAACTGAAGTATTTCAGGATATAGACATATTGCAATGGTATTTGGCACCCTGGCATTAAAATTGAACTTAACATCAAATGGATAGACTTCCCCCATAGACATGCAGGAACAGCATCAACACTCCTTTGTTCACTTAGGACAGGGTTTCTCAACCTGTAGGTCCCCAGATGTTTTGGCCTTCAGCTCCCAGGAATCCTAACAGTTGGTGAACTGGCTGGGATTTCTAGGAGTTGGAGGCCAAAACACCTGGGGACCCACAGGTTGAGAACCACTGACTTAGGACCTCATCAGATGGTTTTCAGGCTCTGTTTTCATGCGCTTAGGAAATGGAGTTCCATGGAGGCACTTTTGGTGGGACTCTGTGATGCTCCCTTTCCTAAGCACATGAATATGGACCCCAAAGACCACCTTCAGGAGTTGGTTGTTACCTGATCAACAGAGGCAGCCCTAGATAATTTTCAATGGTAAGCAAACAGTATTTTCACGTGCCCCCCCTCCCCAACCAATCATTGATATATATTTTCTGTTTGTCATGGGAGTTCTGTGTGCCATATTTGGTTCAATTCCATCATTGGTGGAGTTCAGAATGCTCTTTGATTGTAGGTGAACTATACATCCCAGTAACTATAACTCACATATGTCAAGGTCTATTTTCCCCCAAAAGCACCTCAAGAGTGCCCCTGGGCAAAATCAACTATACTGCAAATACTTACTTTGCATAATGGGTTGAGTTGCCCCTGCTGATCAAGCAACACAATGCAAGGGAAAGTGGGGAGAAGACAGAGAAAGGTCATGGGATGGCTGGACATCCCTGAAAATGGCAAAAGATGGGAATGGTGTAAGATAGTTCCCTCCGCTTTCCCCCGCTTTCCCCCTGACTGCCTGATGAGGTCCTAAGAGAGAAACAGGAGTGGTGATACCATTCAGCGTGAAGTCATTTGGAGCTGCCTGCATACTCTTTCATGTCAATCTGGATGGATGGCTTTCTCCCCATAATCATCCCCATGCCCCCAATGCATCACCTCCCCATTGCACAAAAAAGGGTCCTACCTGTGGGGAGAGGAGGGGCAGCCTTATGTAAGACAGCAGCATGCCAAGATCCCGTTGCCTGTTGTGCAAGTCATGCCGGACCCACATCATCAACGCCTTGAATATGGACTCCTCATCCGGGACGTTGATGTCATCGCTGGACAAGAGTTTGGCGATTTCACTGGCAGGCAGCAAGAGAAACTCCTGGTTTTTTATTACTTCGGTGAAGTGTTCCTAAGGAGGAAATAAAAACAGCTTGAACTTCCGAAGGAGGAAGTTAAAAACCATTTGCATTTTATAGTACTTTTTATACAACTAGAGCTCAGCGTCTGGTGAGCATGACATTAGCATAAATGTATTAACATGCACAATGCTGTGATGGAATACACTTAACTTGCACTGAAGTCTGGAACTGGACACCTAGGGAAAAGTTTCTGATGTTGCAATGGTGGAATAAGTCTGCATCTACAGTGTACTTACTTACTTAGGCGATCCTTCGTTGTCCGAGTAGGATAGTCTTCCAAGATCAGTGTACTGGTGGTGGGTCTGCATGAGACTGTGGAGCCCTATTCTTGATCTGCATGTTCTCCTGCAGTGAGGGTATCGGCTTCCAGGAGAAGGCGGTCCTGGTCGGGGTTGGCTTGACATGCCTTCCTCTTGGCACATTTCTCTCTTTCGCCCTCCATTCATGCCTCTTCAAATTCTACAGCACTGCTGGTCACAGCTGACCTCCAGCTGGAGCGCTCAAGGGCCAGGGCTTCCCAGTTCTCAGTGTCTATGCCAGAGTTTTAAGGTTGGCTTTGAGCCCATCTTTAAATCTCTTTTCCTGTCCGCCAACATTCCGTTTTCTGTTCTTGAGTTCGGAGTAGAGCATCTGGACAACATGGGCATCCAGACAACATGCCCGATCCAGTGGACACGTTGATGGCGGAGGACCATCGCTTCAATGCTGGTGGTCTTTGCTTTTTCCAGCACACTGACATTTGTCCGCTTGTCTTCCCAAGAGAGTTGCAGGATTTTCTAGAGGCAGCACTGATGGAATCATTCCGGGAGTTGCATGTGACATCTGTAGACAGTCCACGTCTCAGCGGCATATAGCTAGCTATATGCTATCTACAGTGTACCATCAACACAGTTTGGCCCCAATGTTATGGAATAATGGTGTTTGTAATTTGGTGAGACACCAATTTACACTATTTGGTAGAGAAGGATAAAAACCTTGCAAAATAACGACTTCCATTATTCCGTGTCACTGAGCCATGGCAATTAAAGTGGTGTCGAACTGCATTCATTCTACAGTGTAGATGCACCTCAATAGAGCCATTTCAGTAGGAACTATCTGCTGTATCAAGTAATCGTATTGGCCCCTCCAAACCCTCTTTGTATTTAAACAACTTAAAATGACATTTCTTCCAATCCTGGGACACAAAGGAAGTTTTTGTTTAGGAATGTTTGCACACAATGTGCAATATTTCCCTGCAGTGTGTAGCCATAGGTGGTGGTTATTATATGTGCTATACACTATTTTCGAATTATGGTGGCAACTGGTGACAGTGAGTCTGAACAGCTTTGCCCAGCATTCAAAGTAAACAATACAGGAATGTCCCTTGGTTTCTATTACCACCTGTAAATTTCCTACTCTGTGTGCCCTACCAGAAAACGTACCCATAATTAAAGGCATTTTGAAAATCCTTATTTTGGGAACGATCTCTTGCGTGTTGTGGTTGCATAATACCCCTGTGCCCGGAAAAAAAATTAATTGATAGAGCAAATGTGTCATGTCAAATTTTCTGTTGACAAATCAGGATGGAAACTGGTGAGTCATATCTATGTATGAGTAAGGCATGTAGTCAGGAGGCAGGAAAAATTAGAATTTCCCTTTCAGATGCAATTTTAATCCAAGCCAAAGAAGAACTTGAAGATCATGCCCACAAAACAAGAAGTGGAGATTTGCAAACCTCCACAACACTCAATGAAGCTCCTATGGATTATTATCAGAGGCTACGATAGCACAGCGGGTTACAACAACAACAACACTTTATTAATATTCCACACTATCTCCCCACGGGGTCTCAGGGCAGATCACAGTACACATACATGGCAAACATTCAATGCCGTTTTGGATAGATAATGCTGAGACAGACAGAACAGAAAGGAGGTATGTTGTGTTGACGTCCAGCTTTTTGGAGCCTTGAAGGTTGTGCTCAAATCCAACTATGGGGAAGTGCTGTTGCTCCATCCTCCATGACAAAGAGCCATCAGGACTTCCTCCTTCCTTTTGGTTGCCAAGTACTTTCTGGTTTTTTTCTCCTTATAGTGTTGTAAAATACCTCCCCTGTTTGTTTTAGTGGTACCTAATTTCTCTAATAACAGCTCAAGCTGTTTTCAAACTGCTTAGGTCAACAGTAAGCTGAGCTGACAGTCAGAAGCTCACACCAACCCGGGACTTCAAACTGGTAACCTTATCACTGCTGGTGATTTACCAGCTGTGCTAAAGCTCGGCCCTAAACCACCAGCTGCAGAAAATCTTGCAGACCGGGCTGGCAGTTCACATCAGCAGATTAGGGTGAACTCCCACTGTCAGATGTAGCTTCTGCCTACCTAGCAGTTAGAAAACAGTAATGGGAATAGCTCAATAGGTACCACTTTGATGGAGAGGCAAAAAGTGCCAATGAAGACATGACGGCAATTTGATCAGAAAGGCAACCACAGAAAACAGGCTCCTTGGCCTGGAAAATGGAACAACAGCACCTCCCCATGGCCAGATTTGAGCATAGCCTCCAGATGCCAGAGATGGAAAAGGGGGAAGCCTTTACCTCTGCCTGTGTAGTGTCTGTCTTCGTTGTTAATTGTATAACGGCATTGAATGTTTGCCATATAATGTGATCTGTAACACATAATGGAGCATCTGGTGGTGCAGTGGGTTAAACTGCTGAGCTGCTGAACTTGCTGACCAACAGGTTGGCAGTTCAAATCTGGGGAGTGGGGTGAGCTCCCGCTGTTAGGCCCAGCTTCTGCCAACCTAGCAGTTCGAAAACATGCAAATGTGAGTAAATCAATAGGTACCACTTCTGTGGGAAAGTAATGGCGCTCCATGCAGTCATGCTGGCCTCATGACCTTGGAGGTGTCTATGGACAACGCCGGGCTCTTCGGCTTAGAAATGGAGATGAGCACCAACCCTCAGAGTTGGACACAACTGGACTTAATGTCAGGGAAAACCTTTACTTTTATTAATTTGTTCTGACTCCTCTTGAGGAGATAGAGTGGAATATAAATAAAGTAAATTACTATTATATTATTTCTGCCAGCATTTCTAGGAAAATAGCAGACTACAACCTTAATCGATGCAGAGGTTGCGTGGATTGATTTTAAAAGCCTTGGACAGAACTCTAATTTAATAAGATAGTTTATTTTATTTAATGGGAGCTTTAATGTTAGCACTTTTCCTACTTCTTGAATAATACAAATAAAAGGACACATGCTCATAATTTGAAAACAAAGCACATCTTGGCTTGTTTATTTCAAAATATATTTTCTCATGTACACACCCATGCCTAAATTAATCAACACGTTAATCAATAAGTACGCTTTTGAGCTGCAACCCAAACAAAAGATATTTTAGTATATTAACGGCATCTCCATTACATTGTTCTCTGCAATGAGAGCTATAAATCTTGGGTGCAAAAAGGAGAGGGTGGCCTGGCTCCTTCCTCCGCTTCCTGCTCTTTGTGATAGTTAGTAAATAGGAAGATGGAAGAGTCGTTGCACACTTCAAAAATAGCCTGAGCTGTGTATAGGAAATGATTTTCTCCCCTGTGGAAGCAAGATTACCAGGCAGGAAACTGTTAATAGTCAACATCAATGGCAGCAAAGGTAAGGTGAGGAGGGAAGTCTTCACTCTCAACGCTCTGGAGCAATATCTGAGCCAACTCTCTGTTTCAACTCATGATTATCATGCCTGCTTTCATTCCTATCTAAGGACGAAGAATAAGGCAAAAATGTATTGTTGAAGGCTTTCATGGCTGGAATCACTAGGTTCTTGTGGGTTTTTTCGGGCTATAGGGCCATGTTCTAGAGGCATTTCTCCTGACGTTTCGCCTGCATCTATGGCAAGCATCCTCAGAGGTGGTGAGGTCTGTTGGAAATAGGACAATGGGTTTATATATCTGTGGAATGACTGGGGTGGGACAAAGAGCTCTTCTCTGCTGGAGCTAGGTGTGAATGTTTCAACTGACCACCTTCATTAGCATTTGAAGGCTTGGCTGAGCCTGGAGTAATCTTTTGTTGAGAGGTGTAAAGATGTGCTTGGTTGTTTCCTCTCTGCTGTTTTACTGCTGTAATTTTAGAGTTTTTTTTAATACTGGTAGCCAGATTTTGTTCATTTTCATAGTCTCCTCCTTTCTATTGAAATTGTCCACATGCTTGTGGATTTCAATGGCTTCTCTGTGTAGTCTGACATGGTGGTTGTTGGAGTGGTCCAGCATTTCTGTGTTCTCAAATAATATGCTGTGCCCAGGTTGGTTCATCAGGTGCTCTGCTATGGCTGACTTCTCTGGTTGAAGGAGTCTGCAGTGCCTTTCATGTTCCTTGATGTGTGTCTGGGCGCTGCGTTTGGTGGTCCCTCTGTAGACTTGTCCACAGCTGCATGGAATACGGTAGACTCCTGCAGAAGCCAGTTCTCAAACAAGATCCACCCAGAGGAAAAGTGTTCTTGCCATACATCAAGGGAACCACTGACCGCATAGGGAAGCTGATGAGGAAACACAACATACAAACCATCTACAGACCCACCAAGAAAATCCAACAAATGCTACGTTCAGCAAAGGACAAGAGGGATCCTCTCTCCTCTGCAGGAGTCTACCGTATACCATGCAGCTGTGGACAAGTCTACAGAGGGACCACCAAACGCAGCATTGCCCAGACACAAATCAAGGAACATGAAAGACAAAAACCCACAAGAACCTAATAAGGCAAAAATGGGATTAATCCCCATATTTGTTCCTTACTTACTTAGCCGATCCCTCATTGTCCGAGTAAGATTGTCCTCCATGTATGGTGTCCTGGTGGTGGGTCCGTAGGTGATCTGCATGTTCTCCCGCAGTGAGGGCATCGGTTTCCAGACAGAAGGTGTTGGCTTGATGCACCTTCCTCTTGGCACGTTTCTCTCTTTCGTCCTCCCTTCATGCCTCTTCAAATCCTACAGCACTGCTGGTCACAGCTGACCTCCAGCTGGAGCACTCAAGGGCCAGGGTTTCCCAGTTCTCAGTGTCTATGCCAGAGTTTTTAAGGTTGGCTTTTAGCCCATATTTAAATCTCTTTTCCTGTCCACCAACATTCCGTTTTCTGTTCAAACTGAGGCACTGTTAACATTAGAAGAAGATGAAAAGCCCTGCGAAGCCACAGTTTTTAAGGATGGCCTTGAGCCCATCTTTAAAATGTTGACCATTTCCGCTACCTTGGCAGCCAGCTCTCCACAAAAGTCAACATTGACACTGAAATACACTGCCTGAGCTCTGCAAGTTCAGCATTTTTCCAAATGAAGCAGAGAATGTTTGAGAATTCGGATATCCATAGGGAAACCAAGATGCTTATTTATGAAGCTATTGTCCTCCCAATCCACTTATACGCCTGCGGAGCATAGACTGTCTACTGACATCACACTCAACTCCTGGAACGATTCCATCAGCGTTGCCTCCAAAAAAAATCCTGCAAATCTCTTGGGAAGACAGGCGGACAAATGTCAGTGTTCTGGAAGAAGTAAAGACCACCATCCTACACCATCAACTCTGCTGGACCAGCCACGTTGTCCGGATGCCCGACCACCATCTCCCAAAGCAGTTACTCTACTCCCAATTCAAGAACAGGAAATGTAACGTTGATGGACAGGAAAAGAGATGTAAAGATGGGTTTAAGATAAGGTAAGGGTAAAGATTTTCCCCTGACATTAAGTCCAGTTGTGCCCGATTCTGGGGATTGGTGCTCATCTCCATTTCTAAGCTGAAGAGCTGGTGTTGTCTATAGATGCCTCCAAGGCCATGTGGCCAGCATGACTGCAAGGTGCATCATTACCTTCCTGCCAGAGCAGAACCTATGGATATACTCACATTTGCATGTTTTTGAACTGCTAGGTTAGCAGAAGCTGGGGCTAATAGTGGGTTTAAAGTTAACCTTAGGAACTGTGGCCTAGACACCAAGAACTGTGAAGCCCTTGAGTGCACTAACTGGAGGTGAGCTGCGACCAGCAGTGCTGCAGAATTCAAAGAGCCATGAATGGAGGGCAAAATGGAGAAATGTGCCAAGAGGATGGCGCATCAAACCAACCGTGACTGGGACCACCTTCCACCTGGAAACCAGTGCCCTCACTGTGGAAGAGCATGCGGGTCAAGAATAGGTCTCCACAGTCACCTATATATCCACCACCAAGACACTGCACTTGGAAGGCCAATATACTCAGACAATGAGGGATTACCTAAGTAAGTAAGCTTGCTTCTGGTTGTTCTACTAAGGATGGTACTTGCAGCTCTACAATTTCTTCTGAGGGCCTATGCAATGCACAACCCGGGCCTCACATGGCATACAACTCATCCGCGGAGTTATAAAAAGTCAATGATGGGGTGTGCCATCTGGATGCGCCCCATCTGCAGGCTTCAAAACCACCGCAGTCTTCTTCCTGGGCTTCGCAGGGCTTTTCATCTTCTTCGAATGTTAACAGTGCATTGGCTTGAACTTCTCCCCGTCCTCCCATCCGTTCCATTTCAGGCGGGGAGCCCAGTAATTGTTCCCTCTTTCATTCATTGGAAGGAGCAGAGAGAGAGGCTCCTCTAGACCTTCTCCACTGAAATATTTATACCCTTATTTAGCTTCACAGCGAGCTCTCTTTGCCCACCTGGCAGCCTGATTATTCTTTCCTCCGCTTTGAATTAGCAATGGGCTAGCATGCTCTCTTCAAAAATGCCTTTTCCTCCTTCTGACTTTCTCCACTGCCAGCTGCCCAACCCACTCCGTCCTTCCTATTTTTGCTCCTAATGCGGCTGCAATTTCCATGCCACCAAAGGCATTTAAATCCATCCAAAGGAACAGTGCATATTCCTTCCTTTGACTGAGGTCTCTTTATTGGGTCATGAAAAGGGATCTAGCTGTGCCTTCCTCTATCATCTTGAAACAGAGCGTTGGAGAAGCCCACCCTTTGCCCTTTGGAAAGAAAGGCGTTGAACGGAAAAGCATGCCTATGTTGGATTGGTGCGACCAATCAATTAGCTTAGTTGCAGATTAAAAATTCTCCAAATTAAACGGAGTTGTGCAAACGAGCCCTTCTCAGCACTCCCCATCTCACCATTTTACAGGGAACTGTGCAAATCTTGCAGCAGAAGACAGAGTGGACTATACTATATCAAGCAGCTTGTTTTCACTGGATATAGCAAGGGTGAAAATTCTTGCAATGCTGATTAAAATTTGGTATCTACTTGTTCTGTCGTGCGCTGGGCCTGTAACAGCTATACTTTTCTATAGGACGTATACTTTAAGCCAAGCGGGAAGCCAGGGGGCCTCAAAGAGAGGTTCTCAGGGATTTTTCTGAAGTGATGGTCTTTAGAGTCTTTGATGATGCAACAAAGTCTTTATTATGGAACAAACAACAAATCTTCAATGGTTCAAACAACACTTCAAGGCTTTCTTAGTCTAGTCTTCAATGGCTTTGATTAACTAAACTTTCTCTGTAGGAAAAACCCTTTTTAGCCTCTCCCAGGCTGCTTTCTATCTATGCCTCATCGGTGTGGGACCTACTACCGACTCCAAATGCGTCTGGGTATCGAGTAGACCTACCAGCCGAGGCTTGAAGATATTTCAGCTGGAGTTCCGTGAACCTGTAATGCTGTTCTCCCTTCAAGAATTCTTAGAAACTTCAGGGCTGTTCCCTTTGATGCTGTGAGGCTGAGAGGCTGTGAGCTCTCAGCCAGAGCTTTTGGGACCTTTCTCCTGGAATTTCTGCTTCTGTATCCCCAGATGTTATTTTTCCCTGGATGGTTATTGAGAAAGGAAGCTTTTCTACGGGACGAGCTGGTCTACATCCTATAGCTTAGCTACCGTGTGTGAGACTGCCCAAAAAATGGCTCCTTCCCCTCCCAGAACCCAGAACAAGGGGCGGAACCAAAGCTTAATTATGATGGACAGGAGGCCTGTCCTATGACTGCAAAACAGATAACAGAAAGAAAATAAAGTTGGAGCTCCTGGTACAGCCGTACCAGCACACTACCAGAATGACAAAGACTTAGCGAGAGGGGTCCCCAATGGATTGCATAGGCACAATGTAAAGGAGGGAGCGAGGCAATTAGGTTTCTCAGTTATTAGACTGATATACCTACATATCTCTTTGAATTGTTAGGAACAAATATTCCAATGCACAAAAACATCTATATAAATAAAAATGTAATGTTTGTTTGTGGGATTAACATAACTCAAAAACTACTGGACGACTTGACACCAAATTTGGACACAATACACGCATCAGGCCAACAAGTGACCGTCACTCATAAAAACACTGGAAAACACAGTGGAAGGGACTTTAAAAGCCAAAAAACAAAAAAAAATACAACGCATGCGCAAAACCACATATATACACTAACACACATATATCCACATATACACAAATATATACACACATATATGCATATATATACACACAAAACACATATACACAGAAAGGGGGAAGGAAGGAAGGAAGGAAGGAAGGAAGGAAGGAAGGAAGGAAGGAAGGAAGGAAAGGAAGGAAGGGAAGGAAAAGGAAAAGGAAAAGGAAAAGAGGGAGGAAAGGAAGGAAGGAAGAGAGAAGGAGGAAAAGGAAGAGAAGGAAGGAGGAAATAAAAAAGGAAAGAAGAAAGGAGAGAAGGAACGAAAGAGAGAAAGAGAGGGGGAAGGAAGGAAAGAGACAAGGAAGGATGGAACCAAAGAGCAAAGGAAGTGAGAAAAGAAACAGGTAGAAGGAAGAAAGAAGAAGAGAAAGAAAAAAGAGGGAAGGAAGGAAAGAGGGAGGGAAGAAGGAGAGAAAGAGGGAGGGAAGGTTGGCCACAGCAACGCGTGGCGGGTACAGCTAGTAATAAATAAATAAATCAGAATCATAAAGTTGGAAGAGACCTCATGGGCCATCCTGTTCAACCCCCTGCCAAGAAGCAAAAAATTGCATTCAAAACACTTCCAACAGATGGCCATCCAGTCTCTGTTTAAAAGCTTCCAAGGGAAGGAGCCTTCACCACACTCCAGGGCAGAGAGTTCCACTGCTGAACAGCTCTTACAGTTAGGAATTTCTTCCTCATGTTGAGGTGGAATCTCCTTTTCTGTAGTTTGAAGTCATTGTTCCATTGCGTCCTAGTCTCCAGGGCAGCAGAAAACAAGCTTGCTTCCCTTCTCCCTGTTGATTTCCCCTCACATCTTGATACATGGCCCTCATCATGTCTCCCCCAGCCTTCTCTTCTGCAAGTTAAACATGCTCAGCTCTTTAAGCTGCTCCTCATAGGGCTTGTTCTCCAGACCCTTGATCCTTTTAGTTGCCCTCCTCTGGACACATTCCAGCTTGTCAACATCTTCCTTCAGTTGTGGTGCCCAGAACTGGACACAGTATCTTCTTGTTGTTGTGTGCCCACAAGTCATTTCCAACTTAAGGCAACCCAAAGTGACGTTATTGCAGGGTTTTCCCTGTGTTCGCATTAGGGCATATTGAGTATCCGTGCCAAGTTTGGTCCAGATCCATCATTGTTTGAGTCCACGGTGTTCCCTGGATGTAGGAGCACAACTCCAAAACTCAAGGTCAATGTCCACCAAACCCTTCCAGGGTTCTGTATGCCAAGTTTGGTTCAATTCCATCGTTGGTGGAGTTCATAATGCTCTTTGATTGTAGGTTAACTATAAATCCCAACTACAACTATAAATCCCAACTACAACTTACCCTCCCCCAATCCCACCAGTATTCAGATTTGGGTGTATTTGGTATTTGTGCCAAATTTGGTCCAGTGTATGAAAATACATCCTGCATATCAGATATTTATATTACTATTCATAACAGCAGCAAAATGACAGTTATGAAGTAGCAACGAAACTAATTTTATGGTTGGGAGTTACCATAACATGAGGAACTGTATTAATGGGTTGCGGCATTAGGAGGGTTAAGAACCACTGCTCTAGACACTGTGTTGTCTCAATACTCACCATAGTGTACACATGGGCCACTTGCAAGAGGTCTGTGCAACCTTGAGCATCTCCGAAGGATCGGATCCCTAGGCAGTTGGAAGGATGGAGCTGCTTCATGAGAAAGTTGCAGCAAACCTCAATGACTTGTGAAAGCTGGAGGAGACAAGCTGCAGCCAACAAGCTCTCAATGGTGTCTTCTTTCAGTTCCAAGATACCTGTGGGTCATTAAAACACACTAGATAGATAGATAGATAGATAGATAGATAGATGGATGGATGGATGGATGGATGGATGGATGGATGGATGGATGGATGGATGGGATATGGTGTGCAAACCAGCTGAAATCTGATTATTAATTCATTTCAGAGATTCAGGTGGCCCCTGATTCATTTCGTAAAGATTCAGAGGGGTCCCATTTCGTTTCGTAATCCAATTCTCAGAAGTTTTGTCATTGTTTTAAGATTTGTTCCATTTACAGCAATGGGGAAAAAATTTCAAGGCTTATTTCTCTGGCATTTTTATAGCGATCAGGATAAAATTTGGCACACCTGTAGGGAGCATTTATGACTTTAAGTCTGCCAAGTTTCTGAATGTTTCCGTCTTTACATATCTTTCCAGACAGAGCTATGAGACAGAGGACACATCTACACTGTGGAACTAATGCAGTTTGACTTCACTTGAAGTGCTGTGCTCAATTATATGGAAACATGGGAGTTGTAATTTTATACGGCTTCCGACGGTGCATTACCAGACTTCAACTCCCAAGATTTCATAGCACTGAGATATGGCAGTTAAAGTGATGTTAAACTGCATTAATTCTACAGTGTAGATGCGCCAAACGCAGTGGAAGAAATTATACAAATATGGGACAATGTACATGTCCCAGTTCTATCCCACCTTTTTTCCCATAAGTCTCCAAAACTGTCCTCAGGAGGAAAGTCCAAACGAGAGATACTTAACTCAAGATCATTCGTAATTCTTTGGAGACTTGAATCCATACCTTCAAAGTATGACTAGAAACCAATGGCTTGCTAAAATCAAAATACAACTGAAAGTAGTTTGTTTGGTGTCACATCCCATTGTAAAGAGAAGGAGTGAAGCTCTATTTCTTTCAAATGACTGGGTGTTCAACTGGACCCTAGAGTGCCAGCTCCACAAAGAAAAAGACTTCAGGTTTACCTGTGTAGGCATATCGCACAAGGTCTTTGAGTGCATCAGGATCCACACCTTCCATTTTTATCTCGTCTTGTTTGGCCTCACGGACATCATTGGTAAACATGGCAGCAAAATAGTCAGAGGCAGCGCTCAGAACCAGCCTAGGAAGAGAGGGATTTTGTGAGCATGAGCTTTGAATACAGAGAACAGCATCAGCCTTCAGTAATTGTGTGTCTTGCCTCAGTTGTTTTGTTTTGATGCATTGTGACCATGGAATAGCACTCCTTTGGCCTATGATTGGAGTGTTACGCATCTCTGCAGTCACAAGCAAAGAGTGATTAACTCATTTAATAGTCTCCCAGAGAGCTGTTTTTCTTCACTGGCAACCTTCCTCCCAGTTAAACCTTCTCCTTTGAGTAGCCAATGCAAGCACACACAAACACACACACAATAAAATTGAAAATGTGGATAGGAATGATTAGGTACCATTGGAATCTTTGTAATTCAGAATAAATTTGGGGGAAAATTACCTTTTCAAAATGATTTTGAATTTTTTTTAAAAAAAAAAAACAGAAGTCCCTTTGCCCTTCCGAAGCTTTTTCCGCCATTTTTGTTACGACTCATGAAGTGAGTCGGAAAGGATTCAGCTTTTCCCTGCTTCTGGTCCCTGGCCTTGGGTCAAGTCAGAGAAGCCAGTTTTGAAGTCAGAGAATACAGTTTTAAACCAAAGAAGGAAGGAATTTCCTCTGCTTGCTTTTTCCCACTTCTAGAGTAAAACAACCACCCAATGAAACAGGAAATAACACTTTCAAACCATTAACGAAAGGATTCGGAAGTCTCGGAAGTTTCGAAAAGTTTTGAACATTTTTTTCTGTGAAAATCGGAATTGACTTTAGAATCGAACCACCAGTGCCCCCCACATCCGAAATGAGGTTTGGACCATTTTTTTTATCAAACAAGCCTAGTGACAGAGGTGTCCACTTACACCGAAAGACTCCCGCCTCCACAAACCTCTATAGTTCCCACTGAGCAGGATACACCTGTGTCCCTCCCTCCACTGACATTGCAGGTTATAGTGAGCACCATGAACACGTAGCCCAAACCCCGCCAGTGTCCTCCACAAACACCATACTGCCCCCCACCCAAATGAAGACTTTCATGTGGGGATAATTTCATCCTAGGTCAGCGTTTCTCAACCTTCCAATGCCGCGATATTTTATATGCTATGTTTTTAATTCTATTTTATATGTTGGGGGGCAGTGTTTCTCAACCTTCCTAATGCCTCGACCCCTTCATACAGTTCCTCATGTTGTGGTGACCCCCAACCATAACATTATTTTCCTTGCTACTTCATAACTGTCATTTTGCTACTGTTATGAATCGTCATGTAAATATCTGATATGCAGGATGTATTTTCATTCACTGGACCAAATTTGGCAGAAATGTGAAATGCACCCAAATTTGAATACTGGTGAGGTGGGGAACAAATACTTGATACGGCCAAGTTCGAATACTGGTGGGATTGGGAGAGGGGAGTCAATTTTGTCCTTTGGGAGTTGTAATTGCTGGGATTTATAGTTCACCTACAATCTAAGAGCATTCTGAACTTCACCAATGATGGAATTGAACCAAACTTGGCACACAGAAGCGTTGTGGACTCTAACAATAATGGATCTGGACCAAACTTGGCACAAATACGCAATATGCCCAAATGCGACCACTGGTGGGGTTAGGGGAAAATAGACCTTGACATTTGGGAATTGTAATTGCTGGGATTTATAGTTCATCTACAATCAAAGAGCTTTCTGAACCCCACCAATGATAGATTGGGCCAAACTTTCCACACAGAACCCCATGACCAACAGAAAATACTGTGTTTTCTGATGGTCTTTGGTGACGCCCTCTGACACCCTGATGGACCCCCCCAGGGGTCCCGACCCCCAGGTTGAGAAACACTGTCCTAGGTGTTCTGTTTTTCCTCCACATCCCAGGGTTCCTTTCTCTCTCCATTGCTGTGGAATTTGCATGACCCCACCCACTTCCTCCTCCTTACCCTTTCCTACCCTTACCTATGGTACACAATAAACAGAGGAATTGATCAGCAACTGAACAAGAGGTTTGGGGAGAACTGACCATGATTTACAGGAGTTATACTTGAGCTACATTCAGAGAGTACTGTTTACCCAACCAACAATGGTTACACTTGCCTCAAATAATGAGCTTTTTTGATAAATGAATAAGTTGTGTCTGTGTGTGTATGTGTGTGTAAATGTGTGTGTGTGTGTGTGTAGGAATTCCAATTAAAGGTGAGAAATTAAAGGACCAGTCTCAACACTTACCTGTGAGCAGGGATCTTGTGGTCTCCAGCAATGAGGAGGACGTCACATAGTTGTTTCTGCTGAAGGTAATTCTCCATCTTGCGGAACGTTTGCTCCGCATGAGTTGCAGAATGGAAGTATTCATCGGATCCATTGTTATTCACTTCTGCAGGAGAGCAGCTGCTTATGGATAGCCTGTTGGAAAAATGAAATTAGGTCACTTGCACCATAAGAACTACGGAAATGGCAAAATGACCAAAGAACCTGAGCAAAAAAGAGCAATGAACTTTAAGTAGAACTAACAAGAGTGGCGCTGGTGTAGCGGAGGTATTTGCTGCCTTGTTTTCATGTTGGATTGCACATCTGGGATTTCTTCCAACTGGCACTACATTGTTTTTTTCTTTACAGTTTACTGGAGATAGCAAAATGAGTGCAAAGGAAACCTGCAAAATCATCCCTTCCTAAATTTATCAAGCTGGGAGTGCAGGAAGTCATGAAAACAGGGCATGGGGTTTATTCAAGTGCATCCTCTATGACTGGTTCACAAAGTGTGCTCCGTGGAATCATAGAATCAAAGAAATTTCCCACGCTGAACCCCATCACCAACAGAAAATACTGAAGGCCATCCAGTCCAACTCCCTTCACAAGAGCAAGAAAACATAATCAAAGCCCTCCTGACAAAGAGCCATCCAGCCATAGACATAGATAGATAGATATGATTCACACAGAGAGATATATAATATCATAGATTTGAAAGGGACCCCTAAAGAAGGACTATGATATGTTGCATGTTCCAGAGTAGGCAAACCAGACACTCTCTACATCAGTGTTTCTCAACCTGGGGGTCGGGACCCCTGGGGGGGTCGCGAGGGGGTGTCAGAGGGGTCCCCGAAGACCATCAGAATATACAATATTTTCTGTTGATCATGGGGGTTCTGTGTGGCCTAATTCTATCATTGGTGGGGTTCAGAATGCTCTTTGATTGTAGGTGAACTATAAATCCCAGCAACTACAACTCCCAACTTCCCCAAACTCCACCAGAGTCCACATTTGGACATATTGAGTGTTCGTGCATTGTTTGAGTCCACAGTGCTCTCTGGATTTAGGTGAACTACAACTCCCAAACTCAAGGTCAATGCCCACCAAGCTGTTCTAGCATTTTCTGTTGGTCATGGGATTTCTGTGTGGCCAGGTCTGATTCAATTCCATCGTTGGTGGAGTTCAGAAAGCTCTCTGATTGTAGGTGAACTATAAATCCCAGCAACTACAACTCCCAAATGACAACATCAATCTCCTCCAACCTCACCAGTATTCAAATTTGGGCGTATCGGGTATTTGGGCCAAATTTGGTCCAGTGAATGAAAATCCATCCTGCATATCAGATATTTACATTACGATTCATAACAGTAGCAAAATTACAGTTAAGAAGTAGCAACAAAAATAATGTTATGGTTGGGGGTCACCACAACATAAGGAACTGTATTAAGGGGTCACAGCATTAGGTTGGTTGAGAACTACTGCTCTACATCAACACTGACAAAGAAACAGCAAGAAATACTGTTTATCCACAAGTATAAAGGCACTATATATATTAGAAACCAACGCTTTCTAATTACTTTATTTTCCAGACAACCAGACTGTGCCACAGCAACGCATGGCAGGGGACATCTAGTACGATAAATAAAATCAGTTTCACCATCTCATTCTCTTGAGCTGGGTGTGAAATAGCTGTAGTTAAGATGAGACTTTCTCCATCTCAACATGCCTGTTTGTTCAGTTATGAAGCTCCTAATGCCAGATCATGGTTCCTCCTTAGAGAAAAGTCCATTCAAAGCCAGAAGGATTTGCTTCAGCTGGCTAAAAATGCATAACAACCACTTCCTTTCCCATTTTTCAGTCTGAACGAGTTATCCTCAGTGCCAGCATTTGAATGCTCTGTACATTTCAAGCCAAGCCGCCAAATAGGCTGCTGCATTAAAAGATAAATATGGGCACAGAGCTCAAAAAATTTCAGACTATTAGGCAAATGGCTCTACAAATTGCTGGCATTGCATTTCAGGCAATTCTGGACAATGGCCAGAATTGCTCCAGAGCACCCAAATGCCTTGGGGGTGGCCTCGCTAATCCAGTTCAATGTAATTCTTCAAAAATGGAATTGGAATGATGACGGTGCCTTCTGGTGAGTTAGATGCTGCTGCAAAGTAGCCATGCTATGCCCTTGTCTTGTGGCAAATTTCCCAAAACGATTATTGGCGTTCGTTGTGTCGGGAATCATAAGCTTATCTGTTCCTGGCTCCCATCCTGTTCTCGTGTTCCCATTTTTTGGACCAGAAGCTGCTGCCTCCCTTCTGTTCATTGATTCATCCTTTCTCGGTTCCCCCGAGAGCTCAGTCCTAGATATGTCTACTCAGAGGCAAACCTTCTCGCTTGCAATGAGACGCATTTTTTAAAAATGGGGGGAAAAAACATTGGTTAGAAATGGAAAACAATTTGAAGGCGTGCGATGATCTCGATGCAAGTGGGCTTTTGGTGTTCCCCGAGACTAATATTCACAAAGTTCCACTTTAAAAGAAGAATAAGATAGTTAGAATATATTGAAATATATTTAATTAATGTGTTCTCGAAGGCTTTCATAGCCAGAATCAATTGCTGTGAGTTTTCCAGACTATATGGCCATTTTTGTGTGTGTCAGGAGCAACTTGAGAAACTGCAAGTTGCTTCTGGCATTAGAGAATTGGTCGTCTGCAAGGATGCTGCCCAGGGGATGCCCAGATGTTTGATGTTTTATCATCCTTGTGGGAGGCTTCTCTTATGTCCCCACATGGGTAGGTGGAGCTGACAGAGGAAGCTCAACCCACTCTCCCTGGATGCGAACCGCTGACCTATTGGTCAGCAGTCCTGCCAGCACAAGTGTTAAATCCATTGCACCACCATGTATGGCCATGTTCCAGAAGCATTCTCTCCTGACGTTTATGGAAGGCATCCTCAAAAGTTGTGAGGTCTGTTGAAAACTTGGCAGGTGGGGTTTATATATCTGTGGAAAGTCCAAGGTGGGAGAAAGAACTCTTGTCTGTTGGAGGCAAGAGTGAATGTTGCAATTGGCCACTTTGATTAGCATTGGTCTTATAGCTTCAAGGCTTGGCTCCTTCCTGCCTGGGGAAATCCATTGCTGATGAACCAACCTGGACACAGCGTATTATTTGAGAACACCCTAACAACCACCATGTCTGACTACATAGAGAAGCCACTGAAAGGAGGAAAACCAGAAAATGACAAACTTTGGCTACCGGTACTTAAAAAAAACGCTAAATCAGGACAGTAAATAAAAAACAACACTCAAAACACTGGGGAATTCCATACAGGAAACAATCAGGGCCAGCAAACACCTCCCAACAGAAGATTCCCCCAGGCAGGAAGCAGCCAGGCTTTGAAGCTGCAAGGCTATTTAATGCTAATCAAGGTGGTCAATTGCAACGTTCACACTTGCGTCCGACAAACAAGAGTTATTTCTCCCACCCTGGACATTCCACAGATAAATAAACCCCTCTTACCTAGTTTGTTTATTTATTTACAGCATTTATATTCTGCCCTTCTCACCCCAAAGGGGACTCAGGGCAGATCACAGAACACATACACGGCAAACATTCAGTGCTATTAAACAAAAAGGACAGACAACAGATAGAGGTATTATGTTGGCATTTTCCCCCAACTTTGGCGTCCTGGAGGTTGTGCTCGATTCCAGTCACAAGAGGGTGCTGTTGCTGCATTCTCTATGACAAAGAGCCTTGACCACAAAACTCCTCCTTCTTTTGATTGCTGGCATTTTCTGATATTTCTTTTATGGTGCCCTAAAATACCTGCCTGCTTAAGCAGTATCTAATTTCTCTACTCACAGCTCAGAGTTGTTTTCGAACTGCTTAGGTGGACAGTAAAACAGAGTTGAAGTTCGGACGCTCACCCTGACTGAGGCTTCGAACGGCCAACCTTTCTATTGGTAAGATGTGTTGTTGCTGATGATTAACCAGCTGTGCTAAAGCCCAGTAGTTTCCAACAGACCTCACAACCTCGGAGCATTCCTGCCATAGATGTGGGTGAAACATCAGGAGAGAATACTTCTGGAACATGGTCAGACAGCCCTCCCCAGAAGTTCGGACACTCACCCCGGCCCGGGCTTTGAACGGTCAATCTTTCAATTGGTAAGATGTATTGCTGCTGGTGATTAACCAGCTGTGCTAAAGCCTGATAGTTTCCAACAGACATCACAACCTCGGAGGATGCCTGCCATAGATGTGGGTGAAACGTCAGGAGAGATTACTTCTGGAACATGGCCAGACAGTCCTCCCCAGATGTTTGGATGCTCACCCGACCCGGGCTTTGAATGGCCAACCTTTTAATTGGTAAGATGTATTGCTGGTGGTGATTAACCAGCTGTGCTAAAGCCTGGCGGTTTCCAAATGACCTCACAACCTTGGAAGATGCCTGCCATAGATGTGGGTGAAACGTCAGGAGAGATTACTTCTGGAACATGGTCAGACAGCCCTCCCCAGATGTTCAGGTGCTCAACCCAATCTGGGCTTCGAACGGCCAATCTTTCGATTGGTAAGATGTATTGCTGCTGGTGATTAAGCAGTTGTGCTAAAGCCTGGTAGTTTCCAGTAAACTTCCCAACCTCTGAAGATGCCTGCCATAGATGTGGGTGAAACGTCAGGAGAGAATACTTCTGGAACATGGTCAGACAGCCCTCCCCGGAAGCTTGGGTGCTCACCTCGACCCGAGCTTCAAACGGCCAACCTTTGTATTGGTAAGATCTATTGCTGCTGGTGCTTAACCAGCTGTGCTAAAGCCCGGTAGTTTCCAATAGACTTCACAACCTCTGAGGATGTCTGCCATAGATGTGGGCGAAACCCTAAAAATGGCCAGAGAGCTCAGAAAACTCACAGCAACTCAGATATTTAATTAGTTAGAATATAATAATGGATATTTAGTTTATGGGAAATTGGAGGAATTAAGCATGAACATTTTTCAAAACGGAGTGTGTTTGTCAGCTTCGAATAAAATGAATGGTACCTCCTTTTCTGAATTTGTGTGTGTGTGTGTGTGTGTGTTAAAAACCCTACAAACATACCTGGTGCTGAGGAAAATGTCCTCTGCAGGAAATATTGATGTGCCTCCAGTACACAGAGAAACTCATGTAA